TAAATGTAATATTTTAGACTTACCATAAAGTCTATTTTCTGAAATATTAACGAGCTTTTTATTATATTTATAATAATGATCTATTGTGTATTTATGTATTTAGATTAGTATACTATACGAATATTTTTATTTTGATATGTACTCTACTATATATATATATATATTTAATTGCACTTACAAATATTTATATATTTTATTATTGAAAACATATATTATTTCTGTTTGTTATGTCCAAAAAATTCAAATAAATCTAAAATTTATATGATTTATCGTATATTTTATAATTTACATGAATAATAAAGATCAATTTTATATTAAATATATTAAAATGAATAATATTTGCATATGTTTTGATCAATTTACAAATAAAAATATTAAAACTGATAGGTTTAACATATATTTGATTAAAAGTATTCAATGCACGATACATATCATTTTTGTACGTTTACAAATATTAGAAATCATATACATACATATTTAAATATTATATATTATAGTATATATTAAAATTGAATAATTAATTTGTCGATTAATCAATTTATTCAATTATTTAATCCCCATTTGGGCGCGAAAAAAATCTAGTGTGTAGATAAGCATAGGGATTAGGGCGTACCGGCGTAGATAAGGACAAACAAAATAATAAAATGAGGATAAAATTTTCTTTTTATTTTTAGAAATAATTATAAGTATGGAGATGGGTGGGTCACCAGCCGATGGATTGAGACTCGAAAAATCAATCTTCTTAAGTGTCTTCTGGTTTAGGTTCACCAGATCTTCTTAATCTCTCTTGAACTTCTTACCCAAAAAAAAAAAAAATCAATTATGTATGGTTTTTTCTTAGAAGAACCCAGAATATATATATATATACACGATACATTCGTTAGCAAAAAAAACATCTATTTAAATCTTTTGTATTATCATCAAGAAAGAAAAGTTTGATAGTTAGTTCATTTAGCAAAAAAAAAAAAAAGTTTGATAGTTAGTTATAGTTGTTACCATTATGAATTGGTTTGGTACTAACGGTCCTCCTTGGTCTCCAAGTGCCTATGATTTGTTATACCTTTGAAGTGAAGCAATCGAAATTTCCTCAAACCACCAATTAAATATTTTTCCCTCACTTCGAACCCT